CAGATTGACTTTTACATTTAACAAAAATGGATAACTGGGACACTGAAACAAGAATTTTTTTTGTCCGCCGCTATCACGCACTGGAGCCCGTAGTTTCGGTTCAAAGAGAATATAATGAGACTTGAAAACAATTATTCCGAGCATGGGTCAGTCAACAGAGTACATTAAGATCAAAACCCTTCAGTTCGAACAGAGAAAACAATCGCTTATATTTTCATACGTTTACATGCAATTATATTAAATTATATGCTTATCATTTTGCGTATTTTTTATGACAACATGCAAAACTGATAACATTCTAATTAAAATATTTGCAAAACTATATTTGTAGTTAATGTGTGAAAAGTGTGGGTTTTTTAATATTTCTTATGTTTGTAGGCACAATTCCGATTTATTTGCCGCGTTCTGTAGGTACCGTTGGAAAGAGCAAGTCCTACTGATTAAGAAATATCTACTTTAAAGTTAAAAAATTCCCAAAACTCGAACATTTCAACAAACTTAAATTAAATTTAACTGTAAACATTTAAACAAATTCACAATTTACACTATTTGCCGGTTTTATAAGTAAGTAGTCTCTATTTTAAAAATAAMTTTTTGCACTGAGCATCATTTATTTGGTAACAATAAGCAAATATAAGAAATTCGCTAAAATTTCTCTTTTTCGCTTTAGTTCCTCTTTTTTTAGTTAGCAATCTTACTTCTAATAAGTACAAGTGTGCCTATCAATTATATTTCAAATTGAAATGAGTATAAATAATCTTTCTATGCGTTTGAATATTTAATTTTTTAAATTTAATAAACATATGATAATATTGTATAATATTACGAAATAAAATAATAAAATACTTAGGTTAACCCGGGTATTAACTCGATCTTTTTTAAAGGAGTACTACGCAAAGGCACTTCAGTGATCTCGGGCTCGACTAGGGTATTTGTTTTAAGAGCGCGGTCGAAAGCCCCCAACGCAGAACTAAGCACTCCGCTAAGTACTTCAGGCACTTCGGATATTGGCTCGATGTGGTATTATTTTTTAGAGCGCGGTCTAATGCTGGAAATAAATTTTTTATAGTCGTTAAACAATCATTCATATTTGTTGTTTAAGATGTGGCAACGCTCGTTTTCCTCATAATCACAATCTAATCTTTCAACGATCAGTGTTCTAAGTGATTTTTAAATTAATTAATTTAACTAAAAAATTAAAATGAAATGTGTATTTTATTGTTTATAGTGTATATTTAAATATACAAAGTGAAAATGAGAAATACTATGTTTTATTGCAACGTTATTTTGGCATATTTTGAAGCTCCCTTAACCCATTTATTACTTWTTGTATTATTATATACCGAAATACATACATGTTTTTTACCCGACTGTCAAAGTAATCGGATTCATGTCTATTTGTAGATATGTATGTATGTATATGAGATACTATCATAATACCCTAAAAACTTATTACAACAGAGGTGGGCACTCACACATATTGTTACATTTGCTATTGTGTGTGAAGCAGTGAAAGCACGAATTTGAGCATGTCGTTCGGCACAACAATGTGCTATTCATGATTATTATGTATTGTTATTACTTTTTAGTCTTATTATCTCATTATTATATTATTATCATTATTATCTTATATTATTATCTTATTATCTTATTATTATTATTATTTAATAAGACTAT